AAAATTTCAGTTTACTAAAGTGATTGTGATATATAGGGAATGACTAAAAAGAAAATATACATCTTTTGAGAAATCTTAATTTAAATGAAGAAAACTATAACGAAAATTTCAATGGCAGTTACCACGTTAGAATTTATCTAATTGTGTTTCAATTGATTCTTTGATGTTAATACCTTTTTTCATGCGACGAATACTATATGGATATCTATTTTAAAATGGCACAAATTCCAACTGCAACTGTAAAATTAATCTCAATAAATTATCCAATACGATGTCTATTCTTAAATATAGTTGCGCATGATTTTTCTCCCCTAACAAGATCAACATTCAATCTAAGCATGAATATATCATTCTTTAATGAAACAGTTTAAGATAGCAACAATAGTCTAGTTTTAGAAGACTTTGACAATGCAGATTTTTTTAGGCACTATAAGCGAAACAAATAATTTGACCGCACTTATATATTTACGCAATATTGTTGTATTGATCGATTTTTGTCATTGAAAAAAAAAGCCTAGACTTATGAAACTCATGCTCTTCATTGAAATCATTGTTTGATTAAAATTCTCGAATAGTTATTTTTATTTTTATAAACTTTTTTTTGTTAAATCTTTATGAATTATAGTTAATAGTAATTAACATCAGTGTGTCACTGAAGACACCGAGCACTATTCATCACTGACACTAACAATGTCAGTAAATCAGTGATCAGTGATGCAGTGGTCACCGATGTTCCAGTGACGTCGATGTCAGTGCTTTCAGTTTTTCGGTGATTAGTGTCAGTGGACATGTCGGTGTTCAGTGTGCATCAGTGTCGGTGTCAGTCGGTGTTCAGTTTTCTCACACCGCACATACCTAGTGAGAAGGTTTCTCTCGATCAACAGACTTTTAAGTTTATTCCACCGACTAACAGAAAGAGAAGTGTTAATATTGTATAAGTAAATGATGATGTTATTTGAAAACATGTTAATAGCAATTATAGAATATGTATGCTGCTCTGTTTTAATTGACTTGCGTTTTTGTCATTGCCAATCTCGTTTCATACGCACAATAAAAACAATATATGTTAAAAAAATCGGTATGCGTTTTTAATAATGAGCGATGCAAAAGTCTTTGCACAAGTGTCAAATCCTGTTAGACCATATTATCAACTTCTGAATGAATCAAATTCTTTTTGTTAGAAAGAGCAAAGTCTGAACTACAAATTTTATATCAGACATATTTTTCGAGAACGAATCTGAGACAAAGGAAAAGCTAAAAAGCAAACACTCCTAAAAAGGTTCTTGCAGCTTCACCATCGAGCAACATCATTTTCAACTTTCTGTTAACTTTTCATATTAGAAGAGGACTGAGAAAACACGTTCAATGATGATTTTTGTAGTAAAAATAGTGCTCTTTCTAATGATGTATTGGAAGTTAAATCTATTCCTAGTTTTTATATCGATAAATAGCTTTTTCTGGAAGAGACTGAGTTGTTTGGTCGTTCTCACTACTTGATCGTTGTACAAGGATAAAAAATATTTTTTGAATATATTTTTTTCTGCTAAAATTTTACGATTAGATATATTTCGACCAAATAACGCGAAAAGAATTCAGTTCATGCATAATTTCTGCAGATGATGGCTGATATTTTTGTAAACTGATAGTTCTTGAAAAGAGGCTCAATTCTGCAAAAATTTCGTGTTTCAAACTTTTTTGATTAAAGAGTCAAGAATGGATCCAAAAATGTTTCTCAAAGCTGATATCGATATAGTTTTTGATGCGCTACATTTTGGTGTATTTTTTTCTTCAAATTTGACCCATGTAGCTTAAAATAATTGAAAAATACAGACTTTTCAAGTTGCAAAAAACGTTGCAAGAACTTTTTTAGAGGTGTTTGCTTTTTGGCTTTTCCTTCGTCTCAGATTCGTTCTCGAAAAATATGTCTGATATAAAATTTGTAGTTCAGACTTTGCTCTTTCTAACAAAAAAAATTTAATTGATTCAGAAGTTGATAATATGGTCTAACAGGATTTGACATTTGTACAAAGACTGTTGCATCGTTCATTACTTAACATCTTTGAATAATATAATAAATTTGTTTCTATGGTTTTGTAGTTTTTCTTATGACGAATATTTATTAAGGGGACTCTGATCGATTTTTGAAGAGTCAGACAATTTTATTACGCACTCTATTAATATTCATCAGAAATCTATAGGATCACTAGAATCTATCGGGATCTGCTTTTCACCCTTGCATTTGGCGCAGTAATTCATGAACTTTATAATACATATTTTTTTTATTTTAGAGACGAACACATTTTCTAGACTGTATTTTTTGTATTGTCGCGGTAGCGGCAGATTTTTTTCCAGTAAGCCGCGGTGCGATAGCTTCCGTTTTTCCGAACAACGCGGCCCGGCATCATGTTTTTTAAACGACGGCGGTGCGGCAGCGGCAAATTCTCAGCCGCGATGGACATCTCTGCTGTGAAACGACCAAAAAACCTATCATGGTGTTCAAAATGAAATCTGTGTAAATGAGGTATATGATGTGAAATGAATCTTTCCCATCGATTAGCATCAAAATAAGCCGGATTATGATAAGTAATAATATGGATCATTTTTAATTGAGAACACATTTGCAAAATAAATGATTCGAATTCAACAAATTTCACATAACATTGTCCTATGAAAATATGATGTAGATTAGATATGGTAATTGATATTTTTCTTCAAAAATTTTCACGTAGGTAAATCAGTCTTCTACATCTCAAATGAGAGAGTTGAGGAGTATAAGCAGAGCAAAATCATTAGTTGCTCAAGATAACAAGTATGACCTATGATCATAGATATAATGCTAGTATATCGATTGTTGGCATTGATCGGTAATGAAATCTTTGGTCGAAATGCTTCGGAAGAAAGTGTATTATATTTGAACATAGGTAAACTGAAAATCAGTCGAAAAATCTCTTCAAGTTCGCAGCATAGAATATTATCTTGGGTGGACAGATCTAATGAGATGAGATGAGGCAAAGAAGATAGAGTTTTGAGAAGAGGTATAAGATCTTTTGATTTCATGGGAGAAAGGTGAAATGATTTAAAACGATGAAATGACGAATCGATAGTCATCAATTTAAAAAAGAGTTTCATGGTTTTCCAGAATGACAAGTGGAGTGAAATGATTTTATGTCTATTTGGAAACGATGAATTTCTTACAACAATGTGAAAGTTTTGCTTCTTCTCTAGAATAAAAAGAAGTTATCTTCAGTGGAAACGAAGAATCAGTGAGTAAGTTTCGAAAACGATTATTGAGATTCCAGAACGTTTCTTATAATGCATAAGCATCGAAATAATCGAAAATGTCTAATAGGATTTCATTAGATAGATCCTCCAAGCATGTGATTGAGTTTCTAATTGAAAGTGCAAAAAAAATAAATAAATAACAGAAGAAATCTTTTATAGTTTCCCAAAGAAAGGCAATATATTAATTATTTAACAAGCTTCCAATGAAGATGTACCAAATTAAAAACATAGTTAAATCTTCGCTGTTTCTGAGAAAAGTCTTATTTCATTTGTTATCGATGTAAATTGATGGTCAATATTTGAATATTTTAAACGAGAAAATGAAGCACCACGTTAAATCATACACAGAACTCAACAGGAAGTGATAGATGATAGTTAGATCATATTCAGTCGAGGGTCAAGCGAGTCGTAGTGACGAGCATTCCTTGTTTTATAGTGATGAAATTTCAAAATCAATTGAACATGATTCACTTTCATTTCAATTAACTCGATTAAAAGGTAAAATTAAAGAAAATTTTTCCTTTTTTTTGTCATCAATTTCTTTAGCTTCAACTGAATCAACTTCGGAAAATGGTGATCATCAATCGGTTTCACCAATATCTTCAACATCAAGTTAAAAAGCTGCAGCTTCGCCAACATCGCCACCAAAACCGAGATTAATTTCAGTAAAAGTTCGTCAAACACCAACTATAAATGAAGTTCATTGTTTTAATCAAGGGGGAAATCACGTACTCCGGTACTCCCGTACTCCCATACTCCCATTGTACTCCCGTACTCCCATTGTACTCCCTGGACTCCGGGAGTACATGGGAGTACAGGGAGTCCAACATAAGGGTGGGAGTTTAACTTTAACTTTAACGTTAAAGTTAAAGTTAAAGTAACATACTTTAACACTTTAACGTTAAAG